CCACACTTCCTCTCCGCAACTCTTGGAATCGTTTGGCCATGGAAAATCTTACGAGCGGATGGGTGTGGCTCTCCAGATGTCGACGGACCATCATCCCTGGCCTAAGGGCAGGAGCTGATGGGGGTCGGGATGCGATCACGTCTGAAAGGACACAAATCCCTCCCCTCCCCACCCAAAAGAAAGAGAACACGGAAGAACTTTTGTGCCCGCGTACCCGCTTGCTCTCCGCCGCCTGGGCGATGAGGTTCACTCGGTGTCCGCGGTGGAGGCCCAGAGCCGGGCAGAGCGCGCACACGCACTGCGCGCACTCTTCGCAAAACAGCTCCAGAGGGCGCCCGCGGTGCTCGGCGCACCAGCGCTCCCGCTCCTGCAAGGCGCGCAACTCCGCCGCCGCCTCGCCGGCTGCGCACACGCGGTGGCCTCGGAAAGCCGCGCCGGGTTCCCCGTCCGCTGCGCCGTGGGGCCGCGCGTGGGCCTCGCACAGCGACATCAGGCAGGTGAGACAGCTCCATTCCGCCCGGCGCGGTGCGCCCTGGGCGCACAGATCGCAAGACGCGACCGCGGCTCCCGCCGCCGCCACCTCCTGCTCCCGCCGCGCCATCGGCTCCAGGACGCGCGAGAGGGAACCGGGCGAGAGGGAGAGAGGCGGGCTGGGGGGCGGAGCGGGGCCGGGCAGCCTCCTCCGACAGCTGGGAATGGGAAGGCGAAACTTAGGGAGATCGGGCGTGGAGAGGGGGCATGGGCAGTGCCGGATTTCCGTATAAGCTAAAACAAGCTATAGCTTAGGACCCCACTCTCTTGGGGGCCTCGGGGGAAAATAACTGGATGTACATTTCCAAAATATAAGATTAAAATAAAGTAAAACCTACATACAGCAACGTTTTATGCTGTGTGACGAAAGTAATGGGCCCCGCCTGCTATTCTGCTCCCTAAAATATCACTGGTTTGCTCATTTCTATATATAGGGTGCCTACATTCTGCAATGGAAGGGCAGATCTTGAAGCTGAGGCTCCAATACTTTGGCCACCTCATGAGAAGAGAAGACTCCCTGGAAAAGACCCTGATGTTGGGAAAGATGGAGGGCACAAGGAGAAGGGGACAACAGAGGACGAGATGGTTGGTCAGTGTTCTCGAAGCTACCAGCATGAGTTTGACCAAACTGTGGGAGGCAGTGGAAGACAGGAGTGCCTGGCGTGCTCTGGTCCAGGGGGTCACGAAGAGTCGGACACGACTAAAGAACAAAGTAGATTCGGAATGAAATGTCTTGTTTTTTTCAAACTGCTTTCTTTTCACCCAAAGTCAAGACATCTTTCTGCAATTTCTACTTTTAGTGCTTTTTTAAAAAGGAAACCATACTTGATCCTCACCCTCTGGGTTTAAGGATATGGCTAGCATCCCAAGATCTTGCAGTAGGGGATCGGCCAGACCCACATTGAAATGAGGCCAGGAAGACTCAGTCCCTTCACACCGTGTGATAATGTAGGAAAGCTAGAGTGGATGGTGAAAGGGTTGTTGAGAGAGGCTTCCCTTTGGCAAAAGGCCCTGGGCATGTAGACAGGGAAGAATGTTAAGAAAACTCCCTGCCTCTGAGCATGTGTGCCGCCCCTGCCCAACCCCCAAGGGAGCAAAGATTTTAAAACATTGAAGTCCAGCTCTGTACATGTTCAAGAACATGCAACTCAATGTTGCTTTTTGAGAACACAATTACATCCCTAAATGTAAGGGCAGTAGCATGACACACAAAACCTAAGTGTATCCCTGTACATATTAACTGCATACACTATTGGCAATGGTTCTTGACCATATATAGAGGTTTTCTTCACTCAGAATCATTGCCTGATACAGTGAGATGGTAACTCTCTGCGTCTGCCCCCAGCAGATATTTCACACTCGCTAAAGCCATTCTACGTGTTATATCAGGGTGAAGTGCAATAAGTCTGAACCGTACTTTGTACTTTGAAGTGCCAACCAGATAGGGTTTCTACATGTAACTTCTCATGTTCTAGTTTACTACTGGAAGAGATTTTCTTTATTTTTCTATGCTTTCTACTTTGACCATTTTCAGTGGAAAGCACAATGAAAACATGGTCTCAGTGTGCTGTAGCAATAAATGGCAAATTCAGTGTGAAGAATTAGGAAAGCAATTAAAAAAATAAACAGCTGGTATGCCTTCATAAAAAAATATGGCGTGGCTGCCTTTCGAATACTGAGTACAATTTGGGTAGCCCCATCTTAACTGGGACTTTTAAAAGTTTCTGTTAATGTTTCCACTGATATGCAATTCATAAATCAGAGGCAAATGTTAATGGGGTTTCTATACCTGCTTCCATTTGGAATCATGTAATTTAACAGAATTTCATATGCTGTGCTTAAATCATGACCAATAGCTACAGAGATCCAACACTGTACTCGAGTGTGAGAAGAAGCAACACAAAGTTGTATAAGTGTACATCATACATTTATTACTGAACAACCCTCTCAACTCCAAAATTGGGCACAGGGATTAAAAATAAAAATTCATTGCACTACTTAGTAAAGCATTACTAGTAACTCTCATAAAAAATGTACAAATTTTGTTAAAAATTTATCAAGCCTTCAAATGATTTGGTTACAGATATTTATAATACATTTAAAACTACATGTTAAATGATACAATGGAGTATGATTTTTTGAAGAAAACACTTGACAAATATGATTCTAACAAAACCCATAAGCTTTCATAATCATTAGCAGGTTTGCAACACAAAATAGCAAAATGAGGTAACTGAAGGTACCAAAGAAGGGAGAGAAGGTGAAAGAGATCCACAGCTCTCTTAGGCCATTTAATAGTAACCAAGATTGCAAGGTGTTTTTTGGAAAGCAAAATAAAAGGAGTTGGTAAATCCCAAATATTACAAGAGGTGTAAATGTTAACAGCGGCGACAAATATCACATTCTGGAGACTGTACAAAACTCTATACAAAAGAAATTACTTTACACAAAATAAATCTGTAAAGAAAGCCACAAAGTGAGACCTTAGAGAGATCCATAAGGCCTTTATACCCATTTTTTTTATTGTTTTAAAAAAGACAGGAGGTCAAATTAAGTTGACAATTCATGCAAATAAAACCCCAGCAGTGCCAACATGATAAAGCCAACTTTTCTTTTCTTCCTTTAGTGGGAGAGGTAGGGATAAGGGGACAAAGGCTACCCAAAAGAATTGGGTGCTCTTAGGCACCACTGAGGGCTGTGGAATTAGACACACACAAATGGTGCGTTATGCATGGCAGTTAACGGCTGAGCATGAATCCTCTTCTCTTCTGCCGGGAGCAATGGGTTAAGAACTCCCCTGCAGCCGGCCAGAGCTGGTTGAGAACACATGCACATGTGTGTCTTACAGACACTTAACCACAGGAAGCATATCTGCACACATCTGCAAGAGTCCCATGCAAACAAAAGTCGTTCAAAGAAGAGATCAGCCACAGGAGTGCAATCATTAAGTTCAGTATACTACAAGAGTAGTCCCTACTGCAGCCCTATCTCTCCGCCAACAGCCTTGCTCAAATGAAACTGGGAATCGAGGGACAAGATGCCCCACTGGAATATGGATCCAGATTCAGCGCCCAGGTCCCCCCTTCTCAGAATTAGTGTTTATGTGCCTTGTTAGTCTGTTACAGAGAAAGTGCCTTATTTCTATGCTTTGACAGTGGACACAGAGTGGGGTAGTGTTACGATTCGATTTGTAAAAATCTTTTCTTTTGTCCAGCAATATAAAAAAAGACCCAAAAGTATTGTAAAACATGTGTGGCAATGCTTCTCCCCAACCTCCCAACCCATGATTTTGTTTGCTTAAAAAAATAAAGTTTACTATGTGCAATTTAACCTTTTTGACATGTTCTGGCGATTCCTTATAGCACACACTGAGGGGGGAACTAATAATTGTAAAGCTGTCATACACAGTATGTCAAACTGTTCCATTTGCTTCGTTAACAATGATTTCTTGACACTATGGATAGACTAAGGTGCCTAGCTACTAAACCGAGGCAAACAGCATCTGAAACAAAGTGGAGGGGATTGTGCTTTTAGTTTTGCAAAACCACAAGCTGCGATTGGTCAGCAGAGCCTTCGGAAAGAAGGGTGATTTACAACCAACACCGTTCCTGGACGAATAAACAGACTTAACACATAGCAGCATACCAAAAAAAGAAAGAAAAAAGCATCAAAAAGGGCACAAACTTAAAGCCAACTGGCAGCAGGTTGCAGCAATATTGCTAGCTGTGGCGCTTGTGCTGTTGCGACCACAAACTATGGCGCACAGAATGCAAGAGAAACGCAAAGGATCCACAAAGAAATATGCAGCTCTTGGGAGAACTACAGTAGCCATGTTGTGTATTGAAAAAGAAAGTGTAAAAATGCCAAGTCTGAAATGTTAAGCAAAGCCAATTTTCCCCCAATACAAAATTATTCAGAAGGCAGTTGAAAGGAGGTCAACTCCAAATTCACAGCATTTTGTTTGTTTGTTTCCTTGATTTTGTGTATCAGCCCATCCTTGAACGTGAATATTCCTCATGCTAATAGGACACTGAGGATGTCTCAACGCCACACAAAAGCCTGCCACCAAGTAAATTTAGCAAGCAAGAAATTGTATCCTGTGACGTTTTTGCCAGGCAGTAAAATATTAACCCGGTACCATGGCTAGGGTGGTTAAAATCATATACAGTCGTACCTTGGGTTGTTGAACAGAATCCGTTCCGGAAATCCGTTTGACTTCTGACAACATTCGACAACCAAGGCGCGGCTTCCGATTGGCTGCAGGAGCTTCCTGCAACCAATTGGAAGCCACAGAAGCTGCGTGAACATTCACACTCACTTCCGGGTTTGCGACATCCGGGAGCCAAAACGTTTGAGTCGCAAGGCGTTCGAGATCCAAGGTACGACTGTACTCTGTCTTGAAGAAAGTGCTAAGGATTTCATTTTGTTCATGAGACTGAGGCTTTTAAAAAGGAAAAGAGAGAGATGGATACCTTTAAAGTTATTTTAATTGTACATGTTTGCTTGCGTATGGCAAGGAATGTGACTTAGTGCCAGTGTTTGTAAGCTAAACTGGGATTTAAGCAAGTATATTGCCAACAATACAAGAAGCATTTGCACAGATTCCAACATCCTCTCCATTTCTGTATCTATGGACAAAACTGGAAAACAAACGAAATGATATAAATGATATAAAAAAATAAATAATAATCCAGTTTTGAAAGTGAACAGAAAAAGAACCAATGTTGGCTTGGAAGAGTTTTTAGAAAGTTAAGAGAGGACAGCATCAACTTTCAATCACCAGTTGAGAAATTTTTAATATTGCTACCTGGCTGTGCAATGCTGCAACGCATTATAAATTTAGCAATGAGCTGCAAATCTCAAAAACCTGGAAAATTCTGCAGCCTTAAAAAAAGAGAGAAAAGGCTCATTTGTTATTTGTAGTAACTGAGGAAGCAATATGCTGTATAATGACAGACATAGGATCTCCAATTAAAGGGAAGCATAATTGTTGTCTGAATAAAAGCAAAAAGGCCTTTTTGTACTATTAAATACAATTGGAGGGGGGCGGGGATGAAATATCAAATGTCTATAACTGCTGCACCCTTATAGCATTCAGTGTGCAACTGCAAACGCAAGGAAAGAAACCAGTGTACAGTACTAGTACTGTTTAAATAACACACAAGATTATACATTGCAGCATAATTAATACTACACACATACATCCTCAGTACATGCTGGTATATTAGTCCTCTCACGCACTACCGCCCAAACACTTGCTCGCCCACACACACACAAACACCCTGCGATCAACGCACCCACCCGCACCGTTTATTCCCACTCACAGTATCTGAAGGCTCTATATAAGGTAGATTGCTATATTGTTTGGAGCTACCACTTCTTCTTTTTTTAATATAAAAGCACATGCTAGAAGATCACGTTCCACTGTAATCTCGCAGCAACACTCGGAATGATCACACAAAAACCAGGGAATGTTAGTGCACACACGAAATTAAGCTAAAAGAAAAAAAAAGTCTTTGGAGTTCCAATCACACAGTTAGTATAACAATCCCATAATTGTGAAGACTAATTATAAGCTTTATAGTTGATTAAATCACACAGTGCAAAGAAAGGTCCATTGACCCTTTTGTGTAAAGGGAAGGCTGGAAGCCACACGGGTTAAGTTCAATGGAGAGTTCATATATATATATACACATGTGACTAGGAACACCCAAAGTAGAATTGTGCTCTTAGACTGGTCATTCTGAGTCACGATGCACTTCCGAAGCATCAGCTCTGCAGATGGGGCAAGTACGATTTGCCTGGGGAATAAAAACAGGCATTAATGCATTGCACATCATCTCACACAAAAGACTGTTAAAGAAAATGTACTGAGTTGCAAAAATAAAATAAAAATCACTACATTGAACCATACATCCCTAGCAAGATAATTAAGAGGAAAGAGAATCGCATCAAAACCCAGATTTCAGTGAAATCAACTGACTTTAGCTTTATCTTATTCTCATGTAAATACATGTCCAAAGAGATCAATCATCTGACTTCTAATGGCTGGCTAATTTATGATGATGATGATTATTAATTACTTGTACCCGGCCCGTCTGCCTGGGTTGCCCAAGCCACTCTGGGGTTTAAACTGCTCTGTCCAGTGCCACAGTGTTTGCTACCAGTGTCCCCATGAGCAGAGGCATCACAAACGCTGAACAAAGCGCTTCTCCTCTAGCCACCATGGAGAGACCAGAATGCTCAAAAAACAGGAAGTGACGAACGCAAGACTCCTGCCGGATAAGGCTGAAGTCCCATCTAGTGCAGCGTCCTCTTCTTACTGTGGCCAATCAGATGTCCATGGGAATCCCACAACCAGGAAATGAGCGCAACAGCAGTCTCCTCAGCTGTGATTCCCAGCTACTAATATTCAGACAGATACTGCCTCCAACAGTGGAAGGCAGAACATAGGCATCATGGCTAGCATGTGTGAATCAGTAAGGGCAGCCTGATGAAAGAAGGCAGAACTTTCATCAGCCGCTCACGTCTCCTTCACATGATTAATGTGCAGACTTCAAGTGGGAACTCTAATAGAATGCTTCTCAGCTAAGTCAGTTCGTGCTCAGCTGCCTGCCACACACAGAGATCTATAATCCACACATACACACACATTTTCAAACTTTAAAACCAAGAAAACTGTACTGGGTTCTCTTTCAAATAGCACCAAAGGGTTCAAATAAGGTGTCCCGGGACAGGGGAGTTACTATTTATTGCTAAACACACTTCAAGTTCTACCAGTAATCTATGAGCCTCTTGTGCATACACTCCTCTAGCTTCTGAAATTAAGAGCATTGAACTCTCGCATTTTAATCATGCCCTGCATTAAATACTACAGTGGAACTGTGATGCTCTCGTTGTTTAATGATGTGGTAAAGATCATCTGGTGGTGACTTTAGCAGGTGAGATACTAGTTTGTGTGTTCTCCCTGACATGCTTAAGTGGATTTTTTATTTTTTAAGTATGCAAAAGCCATGCACCATAATGACTCTAACTCCCGCAACCTTTTCTGAAGTTCACAGATATGTACTTTCATCTCTGAGCTCTTCAGAAAGGGTGGTTTGGATTCTACATTTCATGAGCAAAGTTCTGCTCATGGAGCAGGGCTTCATTCTTGTTGCTCCTGCCCCCAGCCCCCCCGGAAGAAAACATGGTTCTGAGTGTTGCGAGACCTTCAAGAACATCATGTAACATGGTTTGAGGGGCTGCAACCGGAAGGGGGGATCAGCAACAACAAAAAATCAGACCCCCTTCCTCCCTTGCACAAGTGTCTTTCTTCTTGCACAGGGCACTTTGAATTTAAGACAACATATAACGTTGCCATGAACACCATTAGAAAACCGCTAGTCATTATAATTACAGTTCTCTGCTACTTGGAGCTCTTTTCTGTGCTATGCAGAAGGAAATGACGGCATCTAGTGGTTGTAATTAAGAGCTGCAGAAAATCCTCACATTTGCCACAACCTTATGATTTATGGACAATCAAAGCAAACTCAAAGTTAATAGACCTCACTGTACAAATAGTCATATATTCTGCAATCTTGATGATTTAGGATTTACCACTGCAGTGACACAATGGAAATTCAGTACATTTTCTGAAAGTCATAATTAATTTCCTACTTCAATTATACTTCCATATTTTGCATCATGTGTACACTCTCTGTCATCATACTGCTTTTGCTGCTTCTGGTTCCTTCTCAACCTTAAAACAAATTAGGTTATATTTCACATTCAATGTCATTCTTGAAAAGACACATTTTGGACAAAAAAAAAGCTTCATCTTAAATAAATATAAGTCACGTGATGGACAGTTAACAAGTTGTTGTTTTTTTAATGGTGGTATACCGACAGATAGTGTGGCAAAAGTGATGGCATGCAGTGCAAATCTAGACTACTGCACCTCATTTCTAAAACTATGTATTATTATTATTATTACCTTAAGCCATTTATCGACACACTTGGCATGGAACTCATGGTTACACGGTAAAACTCTAAGTAGTTGCCTTGATTCAAAGTCACACATGCACACTACACACCTAGAAGAGAAAATTGCAGAATACCTTATTTAGAAAGAGCAACAACAGTTTGGTTTTATTTATCTGAAAACGTAGGCATTTCCTTGCTTTTTAAAATAAAGACTTGTTAAATATAAAGTGACTGCAGTACATTTCATTGAGGCTTAACTACTGATATAGAGGTGCTGGGTTTGCCACTGATATATACCGTATTTTGCGCCCCATAGGACGCTCCGGCCCATAGGACGCACTTAGTTTTTTTTTTTGGGGGGGGGAATAAAGAAAAAAAAATTATTTCCCCCCCAGGTGCGGGGCTGGAAGAACCAGGTCGGGGAACAGCGGGAAGGCGCGCTCTGCCTCCCCGCTGTCCCCCGAGCTTGTGGGGCTGGCGATGGGGAGAAGTGCGCTGACCCTGGGACTGCAGGCAGCTCTGCGCGGCCATCGGGAGCGGGGCGGGACTTCGCGCCTGGCTCCCGGTGGCCGCGCAGAGCTGCGCTGAGCCGGGGACTGCAGGCAGCTCTGCGCGGCCATTGGGAGCGGGGCGGGACTTTGCGCCCGGCTCCCAGTGGCCGTGCAGGGCTGCGCTGAGCCGGGGACTGCAGGCAGCTCTGCACGGCCATCGGGAGCGGGGCGGGACTTTGCGCCCGGCTCCCGCGCAGACCTGCACTGAGCCCGGGACTGCAGGCAGCTCTGCGCAACCCTTGGAGCCGGTCTCCCGAGGGTTGCGCAGAGCTTCCTGAAGCCTGGAGAGCGAGAGGGGTCGGTGCGCACCGACCCCTCTTGCTCTCCAGGCTTCAGCGAAAGCCTGCATTCGCCCCATAGGACGCACACACATTTCCCCTTCATTTTTGGAGGGGAAAAAGTGCGTCCTATAGGGCAAAAAATACGGTATATGGGATTGCCACTGTGTGTGTGTGTTTTATTTATAAATATGTAATAGAATATAACATACGATTTGTTATATCCTATATTTCTTGCCCAATGCATCATAGCTATTTAACTGACTGCACAGTGCAAGATTAGGAAAACAAATAACTATCAATCCAGAGCAAAAGATTTTATCTATTAACAGCGCATATCTATATAGTGCTCTCAGTGTTCAAAGCACCACACAGATATTATGACAGTAATCCTTACCACCACCCTGTAATGAAAGTGAAGAGCCAAGGATGGAAGAAAAAAGTGTTAGCTAAGGCTACCTAATGATTCTACACCTGGGGTGAAAATTTGTACCATGGACTCCCCAGCTCACAACTCATACTTTGAGCACCAGCACCAACTATATCAGCAAGACAGTTTTATTTGCTTCTCCCAGGAGTGCCATTTGCAAACTACTTGAGATTGCACTGTAGAAATTAAAACAAATGTGTTTTGCAGAGAAAGCTGGCAGACAATCCTATCTGGCAGCCGAAAGAGTCTGACTTCAGGACTGGAGGGTGGAGGGATCCTGTGGCTACTAAGGAAAATGCTGTTTCTAGGCCAATATCCGTTTCTAATATTATTTTAGAAATGAGCAACTTAAAAGCTGTTGTTGGAAAGCCTGAAGAGGGCTTAGGGCTCATTGTTGTGTAGCAAATGGCAACTCCCCAATTCAATTTTCACATTAATGCAAACACTTGGTAGTTACTTTTCACATCCAAAATCTAGCAGGACTACTGGGAGATTGTTTAGAAGACATTCCTCCCTCCCCTCAAAAAACCCTATTTTTATTTCTTCTTAAGGAAGCTTCATGTCTCAGTGAGAATTGTATGATCCTTTTTTATTATTATTAAAATGGCAGATTTCTGTATTAAACACTTTGCAAGAAACGGCATAACAGGAATTGTAAAAGGCTCAGTTTCATGTGAATAGTGACCGCAATTCATACAAGTTTCTTGTTTCTGTGTGCCTATTATGGCATTTCATTTTTCTCTTCAAAAAGCAACATTCCATCATGCCCCAATGCAATCTGATTTTATAACTTTCCTATTATAAAAGCAGATAGCCATGTGGCATGTGGAGCTGGGAACTTCTCTTTTTGGAAAAATAAGGAGCACTGATTTCATGTTAAGATAAGGTGTGCTGCTTCTGAACACCGTCCCTGCCATTCCTATGTCACTCCAGTAATATTAGATGGAGGAGCAAACTCATCATTAGCTGTGCAGCTCACTGGACTGTGAACAATATTCGTCTAAATCAAAGTATTAAAAAATGGGGAAATCTGTATTTAATATTCTAACCCAACTGTTAATAAAGCTCACCAATACATGGAAGTTTTATTTTTAAAATCCCTTACTCTACCAGTTAAATAAATTCAAAGCTGGAAAGTACTATTAAAAAGGAAGACAAGTGAATGCATTTATTAGTTGTGTTACAGTTATTTGCTGTGCTGGATTTCAGTCAACCAGGGTCAAACAACTTCACACCAAGGCCTCAGAGAGGAGCAAAAGAACTTACAGAGTCTGTTCTGACTGATGGTTATTTGGGTTGAATCTGTAAGATGGAAGTTGTTCAATATCTGCTTTCGTCAGTCCTCTCGGTTTGGCCTCTCCCAGTCTTTCGGCCAAGTTCAGCAGTGCCTATGAAAGAAAGACGCCCTTTTCAAGTCACCTTTTAAAAACTCACCCACTTTACTCAAGCACTCTTCATAACACATTATCATCAGGGACGATAAGCAAAACCAGTAGCGTAAAACTGGGAAATCTTGCAAACTTGCGTCATAAGGCAACTGCTCTTGGTTTAGCGTTTGAATTGTCTGGGGCTACATACAATATAATACCCAATCATATAATACCCAACCAAGAGGCCCAACATGCAGCACTGTGTAGCACTCGCATGGAAGGAAGAAAATCCTAGAAATTTTTCAGCGTAAGTATATGTCCTCACAAAACATAGATCTGGTAGCAGCTACTGCAATTTTTTGGTGTCGTTCCAGCAAAATGCAATTTGCTAGTTTAATAAGCAACGTATTTAGGAACCAATTTAAGGAATGTACTCAAAGCCTCGTGATTTGCATAAATGTGGAATCTGTAACCAACCTCATAGTTTTCCACCTCGCCGTCTTCTACATCCAGCTCAAAACTGAAGGCTGGGCCAACTGCAGGTGGCACTGGAAGCATTGATCTGCAGAAAAAAAGGAAGTTAGCAGCTAATTTTGGGTCTGTCCCTAGAGGCTTTCAAAACTGGTCAAGAATTTAAATTCAAATTTGGTTCCAATTCAGTACTAGGTCACACTATTTACTAATCTGTATAAAGCTGGCTCTCCTACCATTTTACACATTGGATTACACATGCCCATGCTTCCAGAGAGGCAAGCTGGACAGGTGTTTAAAAAAATGTATTTTAACTTAGCTTATTATTCATTTTGATATTTGATTTATACTTTGCCCTTTAAATGGGTTCCAGGTTGGCTTAGAAAAGGTTAAAATTACAATAATCTAAGTGCCTCTGCCTAGTGTCAAAATCACATCACAACAAGAGCCTAGCAAGCCTCCCTGTGGAGAACATCGTCAGTCAAGGTGCCACCACCATCAAGACCCTTTCCCCTGTAGGCACCTGGTACACCTCAGAAGGCACAGGCAGGCTTTAAGTAATTGTGAATTGGGCAGCAGAAGGAAAAACATTTCTCTGTCACAAGTTCACTTACAGAAGCACTGAAGCTTATAAAACATATACAGTGGTGCCTCGCAAGGCGAAATTAATTCGTTCCGCGAGTTTTTTTGTCTAGCGAATTTTTCGTCTTGCGAAGCACGGTGTCGGAAAAGTTTTGGAAAAGCTTCAAAAATCACCAAAAACCTCAAAAAAGGCTACCACACCGCGTTCTATGAGTTGCTCCTCAAGTCAAGTCGCAACTGTATTAACGGTGTTAAGAAAAAGGAAACAAACTTGCAAAAAACGCAAGACGTTTTCGTCTTGCGAAGCAAGCCCATAGGGAAATTCGTCTTGCGAAGCAGCTCAAAAACCGCAAAACCCTTTCGTCTAGCGAGTTTTTCGTCTTGCGAGGCATTCGTCTTGCGGGGCACCACTGTAATACGACCTGCTTATACAGTGGCCTAATTCACACAGAATGTCAAGCCATGGCTTGTTTAGTCAAAGTCCAGTTTGGCTAACCCAGAAAACTAACCATGTTTTGTTTTCTGGAAACAAAGCATGATGTGAAGTCATGGTTTATTGTTGTCTTACGAACCATGGTGTTTTTCAACCATGGTTTGGCCTTGGGTCTGAACTTGTTTAAACATGGTTTGGCCCACAATAATTTATCTGAGAGGGACAGTCCACATGCTTCATATGAAGATTGTACCACAACCAAGGCTTGGTTTACTTGTACCCTCTCAGTCCTCTGGCACACCCAGAGGGTTTGGCTGAGAGGCAGGGACTGCTCTCATTTGTGGCAGGGTACAAAGGAGGGAAACAGAGCAAGCAACTTCTCCAAGTCTCATTTCAATGAATGTGAGCAGCATGAAAACACAGTGCTGCTCTTGTAAGGCCACAGTTCATCATAATGGGGATGGGTAAGAGAACTTCTCATAGGATTGCACTCTTTACTTGAAGCACTTAGGATCATGTTACAGCATCCACACTAATTACAAATAAAAATATTTGAGGTCTCCCTTCACCCATCTTGTACTGAAGAAGAGAGTGCCCTTTTGGGGGGACAACTCTAGACTGCTGTTTTCAGAAAACGGTGTTATCCATCCTAAAGCCAAGCTACCAAGGACAGCTACCAAGACAAAGAGACTTACAGCACATATGGCAATAGGCTGGGATGGTAAGGAGGTGGCGGTATTGGCTGTTGAGATCGGTATCTGCTGCGTCCTGTGAGTCTTCGAGGCATGAAAGGCGGGTAAGGCTAATGCAAACAGGGGGGAAATTTCAGCAGTCCATCAGCTCACGGTGGCACTGGAAAAGTCATACTTTTACATTTCAGAAGTGTTTTCACCACAGTGAATCTTCCCTTGACCAAACAATTCCATTTCTGGCTTACTGAAAATTTGATGAAAAATTCTTGTACAGACTGGTCCTAATTCTAGAGTTGGATTCAAACCTGCTGATCTATGAAAAGAAGGGTTCTTTCCACTTTTAGAATACAAACCAAGTCAAATCTAGTAGAGAATCCTCTTCTGCAAATGGGCACTCCTGGGGGTGGGGGGCTAGTTCTGCTGATTTCCACAGCACCCCAGCAGTCCCCAGTGCTTCCTCCCATACTGTATTGGAGCTGATTTTCTTTTTTGGGGGGGGGATAGAGGTAGCTGCTCTGAAGATAGGAAATCAGCATGGATCACCTTCCCTTCCTTCCACCCACGAGAGCATCTCGCTACCCAACCAAGGCTCATTTATTTTCTGTTTCCAACAGTTGCACATGTTGAGGTTAATGTAAATGAATAGGTAAATGTGCATGTTCAAAGGGGACGGGGAAACAATTCAGAACATGTTAGTAGAATCATAATGTGAAATAAATGTGTAGTGAAAATCACAGCAAAATTCTGAAAGCCATCACTTACTATTCCAAAGGACACCTCTTGGTGCAAAGGGTCATGCGTTAAGAACTGTAGTGGGGCTGAGGGAGGCAATGTTGGTGGGTGGGCTGAAGGCGGATAGGTGAAACCTCCCACAGGAAGATGGTCTCCAAGCAACTCTACTTCGTTCTCTATCCTTTGAAGAGGCTACGGGAGAGGGGAGAAAAAGCATGAACATTTGTGAAACATAATTTACCACAATTATTTGCCACAAATAGTTGTTTGTCAAAGTTTATCTAGTCAATACTACACAGTAAAAGCATATTCATACTGCACTGAAGTATGACTTTTATTCAGTTGGTGTGTTTTCACTGTGTAGTTTGCCAGAAATTCACATTTCTCATGCTTAATAACGCCGTTCTGAGTATTTATCAAATTGTAATTAGATATATTTCAGTATAAATGTTATGATCTTGTGCCACGTTTTCCTGCTACCACATAACTGAGAACATTCACTCGTTCTTGTTCCAGGATCTGTATCTATACGTGATGACACTCTGGTTCCTTAGAATGCAAAATGACCTTTTTCATCCTTAGCTTGAGGCTTTCAGAGCGGGGTGTTTTTTTGTGTGTGTGTGCTAGTCTCCACTTTTAAACCTGGGGGCTGAGGAGGCCACATCTTGTTGCGCATTCAGTCTACTCAAGAGCTGCTCTGGTTGCCTATCAGGTTACTTATCATCAGATTTCTAATGTTACAGGGTGACCCACCAATTTCATGCACATGCAATGCCCCTTCCCTGGGAAAGCAGGGGATCAGGCAATCCCATTTTGTGAAACCCTGTCCTACATTAACTCTCCTTGCAGTTTATCAACAAAATTCTCTTCTATTTCTGGATGATAGGAAAAACTAAAATGATAAGGAACAGGCACTCACTGTGCTGAAGGACAGAGAGGACTATATCATCATTCATTCCATTCTACATAGCCCACTTTTCCTTCAGAGAGAAATTATCAGCAACTGTCTCACAATTATAGAATCCCCTACAGATCTGCTTTGAGTTTCAGTTCGAATACCTTTTTGGAAGCACCAGGAGATCATGTTTTTCCACAAATGAGATGAAAAAGCCCACCTGAACCTCTCAAATACTATGTGTGCCATATAACAATGGTTAATAGTATGGGATGTAAAGAAATTTAACACACACCATGGACTGCAAATATGAAATGCCATCTTTCAAAAAAAGATGCACTTAAGGCTCAAAAAGGAACACGGCCATTCAAAAAAGAAGAGATCCGTCTTTTTTCTCTGTAGTTCAGTTTCTCTGAAACTAGCGCTGGAAAACACTCAAGATTCCATTTTGCTTCCGCTTTTCTAGCAGACTGGAAATTAAAGGCAGCTACGGCTTTCAGCTTGTAGATCAGATTTTGCATTTCACAGACTTCTATACTAGAAGCTTTGCTCTCACTTGCAAAAGTCTTCATGACTTTTTTGGCTAACCCCTTTTCCAGACAGCCAGCCAATGCATCCCACCTTAAATTCACTGTTCCAGAACCAACTGCTAGAGGAAGTAAGGTGTTTTTTTTGTGTGTGTGTGTTTTTTAAAGAGATACCTACCGACCGTGACTGTTGTGTCTGAAAGGGAACGAACTGGCCTGGAGGTGGCAGGTGTGGAGCATGATGTGGGGAGAGGTGTGGAGGATGCAAAAGAAATGGATCGCTAGAAATGAGAGGTGGGAATGCCGCATATGGAACTGGTAAGTGTTGAACAGAACATGCCTGAAGCATCTGAAAAAGAAAAGAAACATTCACAAACGTTATGCAACACATAGTATTTGATTCCTCATTACATTCTTAAGAATAAAGCACAATTTATAGCGAATAGAGTTCCCATGGAAAAGATGGACCCTTTCCACACCTAGCAGAAACAAATAAATTATGCAAAGTAAGACAGAAGTTGTTGAAATCTGAACACAGAGGATGAGGCTCCATCTCTCTTTGGTCCATAAATCTGGATTACTTTGGTTCAGATTTTTTTTAATGCATAGAAAGGGATTATGTTTTAGAATCCAGAATTTTTTCAAGAGTTTCAGTGTGCTAGTTATTTTCAGAGCGCAGAAGGTTAACACTCATCCAACCCCTCCATTCCACAAAATTCTACCGATAAAATAATTAAAAGTTTGTGGAATATACATAAAATCTTGATGAAGTATTCTTATATGAAGGCTAAAATCGTCTTTACACTTAACCAGAAGTCACACCACCCTAGGTAATACGTGATTTCCAAGTAAATATAGAGAAAATTCAGCTCTAAGTAAATTCATTTGGTCTTCTGCGACCTCCAAAGTCATTTGAAGCATGTGTTTTTGAAATTAAGATTAAGATGCTACTTACTGGGGGAGGCACACTGCAGACAGGGAGATGCTGTCCACTGAAAACCACGGAACACCCAGGGACCTGCTGTGTGTTGCAAGCTGGTATGTGCTGACCTGTGCAAAGTGGAATCCCATGTGGTGCCACCGTGGTCACCGTGTATGAAACAGGGACTGTGCCCTGGTGGATCTGCAAAGAAAAGTGCAAAGAGCTTTCAGCAGGTCTGCTTAGTTACCAACCTCAGAAGGATGCTCAACTTTTCCCTTTTTTTTCTTTCACAGCACAAAGATTATTAGTAAATATTTCAAAACGCAACAAATACAGGATTTAGAAACAAAATATAAGAAAACATTCGAGATGACCCAGTTCCAGTTTTCCACAAATGCACTATAACCAGGTTAGGACACTGTTCACAAATACTGTCAACTGGCTACCTATAGTGAAATTGTGCAAGTCACCATTGTGCAAGTCACCACTGACCTTCTAAAAATTGAATCAAGTCAATTAAGAATGGAAAGAGTCACCATCTTTTGCCTCCCCCCCCCCACAGCACCCTTCTTTCTGTAAAGCAGGGGTGCCCAATGTATTGTTCTCCATGCCACTCTGAATTCATGCAGTCACATGACTGCATTTGTCTTGTGGACAATGGGAACAGAATAGTGTGAAATGTAAGAGACAACTACCCTCAATGTGAAGATGATGTGTGGCCTTTAGCCAAACAGGGATTTAAAAAGAGATTAGACAAATTCTCGAAGGCTATGGTTTTCAATGACTGTAAGTCATGATAGCTGTGTAGTAGCTCCAGTATTGAAGATGTATACTTCTAGGTACCAGTTGTTAGGGAACATAAGTGGGGAGAGTGTTACTGGGTTATGTCCTGCTTATGGTCTTTCCACAGGCATCTGATGGCCACTGTGAGAATGCGTAATTAGATGGGCCTTTGGTCTGATCAAGCAGGGCTTTTATTACAGCAACACCGCCCATGTCTCTGCAGCAGCTGTGATTAGACTGTCTGCATTGAGAGCCACTGAACAGAAAACCATTATCCAGCCTCAGAGGCAGTATACCCAAAACAGTGAGGTGAGGGGTGTCATCTTTATACATTAGAAAATAAAGAACATTTTTGGCGCACAAGTGAAGTGTAACCTCCAGTTTTAAATCACAAAGTGTAACCTATCTACCAGGAGTTAGGAATACACCGCTCCATCCTTTCAAATACCTGTTCATGAATGTCAACCATCACTGCGTTTTGCTGTGGTGGATGAGCAGCTGGGTGCAACATACGGGGAGATACATTCGGAGGGTGGAAGGCTCGGGGTTCTTCTATTGCTTGTTGTTGTCCGTAGGGGAGATGGTAGTTCTCATCTTGACTAATGGAATTATGTCGAGATAATCGATCTCTTCTTGCTCTCTGGCGTCTAACAGGAGGGCTGCAAATAATCAAATTGGACAAAGATTTTTTTTACACACCTTTCCCTTCTAGATTAAGCAAAGAATCTTGTGGCCCCTTAAAGACATACAAATTTATTATGGCATAAGCTTTCTTGGACTACAGTCTATTCCATCAGCTGCATGAAGTGTTAATCTGAGTCGCTAGTGCATACATACATGACTGTATGCAGGGGAAAGGATTACAATCAGAGATCAGAAGGATATGAAATGCAGAAATAAGTGATAATGGCTTTAATTAACAGTGGCTATTCACAAAAACAGTAGCTGATGACACAGAAGTCCTGGCATTAGCAAGCCAATTGATACATGTAGTGTAAATCCCCCTGAAGCTCCTTTGTTCAAGGATGGACTATGAACTTCAAACTTGTACTTTTCTTTCTGCATTCCAAAATTTATGTAAATCAGATGGATCTGTAAACACTTAACATCATTTTCCTTATCAAGTAAACAGAATACCAGAAGGCAAACAGCAGCTGCTTAATAAGAAAATATGGATTACAGTCATCTGTAGTTTCCAACCAAATAGTAATACCAAAGCTATCACCTAGCCCCTTTCTCCCTGAAATTCAGAGTTAACAGTAATGAAGCTCAAGCGGAACTTATCATGAGTTGGAAGTTATGCAACTAACTCTCCCTGTGATGACTGCTGCCGACTAACAAACTTTTCTGTGACCATCATGTAAATGTGGTGGTTTTTCTTCCACACTGCAATCTTAATGCATATTCTTGCAGAACTTGGTAGTAGGTAAGGGGAATTTATTGGCAAGCAAGAAGTGTTCCAAAGCTCTGGGTTCATTCACATGACTTTTAAAAGTCTTCTTTTTGAGACTTCCTCTCACTCCTTTCTTCCTCTCCTCATAGCTCCCCAATTCCAGCTGAGGTGAGCTTTCCTTCTCCAGTATTAAGACGGACTACCTAAGGACCATCTTCTCTTCAGAGGAGAAATCTAGCCTTCAAAAAAGTATTATTCTTTCCTGTTTTATTATATGGCTTTAATTGATGTTTATTTTCATGTAAGCCATTTTGTGAGATTCATCCTAAAACCAGCATGTAAATATATTATAAACCACAGTGATTGCCAGTTATTGGTCAGCCCAAGACTGGCTTTCACATCAAAGACACAACAGTTGCATGAAACCTCACCAATGCTGTAGGACGTGACATGAGCTCAGCAAAGGATAGATTTCATGTAATCTTTTAAGCCCATTACAGTGCAAGGAAAAGTCAGCCTGGGGCAATCTAAAACTGCTTCTACCACAGGATCATTCTTAAAATGGTGGGCTTTGATCATGGAGATGCAGGTTCAATTCCTTGATCATCTATGAATTCACGGAATGACCTTGGCCCAGTTGCTATTTCTCAGCCTAAACCTACATCAAAGGGTTGTGGCAATAAATGAATAATTCATATGTATGCTATACTGAGCTCCTTCGAGAAAGGATGAGATACAAACATGAAGGGAGGGAATCTACACAGGTGGAAAAAACCCTGGTAACCCATTACTGGAAGCCCTACGAAGAGGATCCATTTTCATCAGTCTTTATAGCAAATGCTGTAAAGATGTCCTCAGTTTTGTCTCCAGTCATTAAGCAAAATAATAAATAATAATAATGCATTTAAAGAAAAAATTAGGAGACAATCAATCATTTGTATGCTCCTGGAAACAGTACAATTTTAGCTCCATGAAGTTCACGACTCACACCACAACAAAATAAGCTAATACTACTAAGAGCAGCCGGACATGGTATATTCCTTTGGAGTTTTGTTCAGGTTTATTTTGCAGTTGGCATCTCTGTCAAGTTCAGGTGATTTGGTGCAATTGTTAAGCCAAACGCTCCTCACTTCTATTGTGAAGACAAGGGGTGGGTGGGAAACACAATGCATTCCTTGAAAGAAGATGAACATTTTAAAATACCCAATCTAGATATAACTAAACACGGGCAGTCAAAAACCAAAAAGAAGAAGCTTCTATTTACTAAGTAGTAGGCATCAGATCTCACAATACCAGTACAATAACGTGATAAGACTCGCTTGTCTGCAGTACAAAACACTACATTCTTGGTGTAGTTCTCATGACTTCCAGGACACTAGCACCCACAAACATGTACACCTGGAAGGTAGACACACCACTACCTCCTTAAATAACTATTTAATTAACTCTTAATAGTAATAAAACTTGATAGCTCAGAAAATGGCTGTTCAATTAAGACCTTGATATGTAAGCAGCTCCAATCCTCAGTCAGGAAGGCTGACTTCACAACCATTGTCCATCTATTCTACTTGCCTCCTTCTGTTGCGTGCAGGTGTGTTGCATCGTTCCCCTGAGAAGTGATGTTGGCTTGGTCGAGCTGAAGGAGGCTGCCTATTGGATGTCATCTCCCATGGTCGCATTGGCGGTGATGGGGCTGGTGATGCTGCTGTGTAGTCAAAGACTGAATGAGAAAGGCGCTGTCTCTTGGGACTTGGACTATCTTCACTCTGCGGGGCAAGGAGAAACAAAATAAATGAATCAAAAAGTAATGGGTAACTTAGAACGTCATTTATCAGAACAACCATTTCCGAAAAAAATAAAAATTAACTAGGTATTACACATTTCCAAAGAACAAATCGGAGATTAAATGTCTAGATGTTTCACAACTTCGGAAATATTGTAGTTTATTGCTCATATTCTCTCTAAACCTTTTCTCTTATGTCTGGGGGAAATGAAGAGAACAGAGTACAAACTGAGAACTGTTATAAGGGAATAAGGGTTATGGTATACCCATTTTGAAATATGCTTGCTTAAGCACAACTTAGGCTCAATAGGCTCTAGGTTTGTAAATTCTTAAAGGAGCTACAGACAGATGGAGTTGCAGCTCAACAAATGCACTCACCACCCACTAGGTATGTGATTTAGACTGCAGCCAAATTTTGGTCTGCTGAGCTAGCTTTGATAGCTTTTTTACAGTTACTTTCCCACTACATATAGAATTTACAGCATTTAAGATGTATATATTTAGTTTTCACTTATCTGAAAGATATTATCTTTGACAGGTCAGTGCAGCTTAAAAGACAAATACAGTACACAAATTATGGAAACAGAACACTACCCACCTTTAGGTTAATATACAGTTATGTACCTGTAAAGGATGACTTTGTGTGACTATGTGGGATGCCATTAATACAGCCCTTATTCATATTCAAGTAGGCCCCCAAATCCGAAAGACCACCCCTCCCCCACAGACCCTCTTGGTTGCTGAGATTAGCAGTAGTTCCTCCTCCTCCGTCAGAGGCTTGGGGGCTGGCAGCCTGGGAGAGGGCATTCTCTGTAGTGGCCAACAAGCTATGGAAATCACTCCCCACAGAGGTCCATCTGGCTCCTTCATTATACAGCTTTTGCAGACAGCTGAAGACACACCTCTTTAAACCTGGCTTTTGAAATCTATATAACCCTGACTTTTAATATTGTGTTTTGATGTTGTCACCCACCCTAGGACCTTACAGTAAAGGCTGGGCAACAAATAAATAAATACTAGTGGGGCCGAGACCCACAGTAGCAGTTTCTTTCTATCTATCTATCTATCTATCTATCTATCTATCTATCTAGAGGTGGGGGAAAGGCAATTGAAAGGGCTGGGCAAGAATAGAGTCCCATACTGCAAATTTGATAAGCTGGGTGACTACTGACTTCAGTATTTATCAAAGCATGAGAAAATGCTCAAGTTTCATATATGCTATTGCAAACACTCCTCTACTGGGACAGCTCAGATACCACTTCAAGTTCCTGGTTGCCCAAGAATTTCCAGCTCTGTGGTTCATACTGTCTAGGTGTCAAAACTGAGCTGTTCACAAATTAACGGAAAGCTACAATTAAACAAACTTTGGCTTTCTGGGAACAAGCATTCTGGTGCACACTTCTCAAATCAATGCCAACCCCTCTGTTGTGCCAGAAGGAAAGAAAGCAGAGTGCTGGCATCCTGTTACGTGCAAATCAGCACTTGGGTCCACAACTTTTCCCCTCGTTTTTCACATACTGGCTTTGTGAGACCACCCTCAAGTGATGACAAGACTGCAAAAATGGTAATGGGGACTAACAAGCAACAGGAGATTTTGACACAAGAGTGGAGAGATGTTTGGTGAAGGCAGAAGGGCTAAGAAACACACAGATTGCCCAAGACTCGTGTCATCTTGATCACAAAGTTCCTCATTTTAAAAACAAATTTCATCTAAGTTACTTTCTCAAAGCTACAAGACCATGAAATAGTAAAGCTTATAGCTCATGTATAACACAATATTATGTATTATACCTAAGTTCAGTGGGACCTGCTCCTAGAAGAGTTTGGATTTGGATTTGATATCCCGCTTTATCACTCCCCTTAAGGAGTCTCAAAGTGGCTAACAATCTCCTTTCCCTTCTTCCCCCATAACAAACACTCTGTGTGGTGAGTGGGGCTGAGAGACTTCAAAGAAGTGTGACTAGCCCAAGGTCACCCAGTAGCTGCATGTGGAGGAGCGGAGATGCGAACCCGGTTCACCAGATTACGAGTCTACCGCTCTTAACCACTACACCACACTGGCTCTCTCCTAGGAAAGTTTGCTTAAAATTGCAGCAACACCAGACATTCACTGTACAAGCACTGACATTATCACCACATTCGTATGAATTTCTTTGTAAGAAGAGATATCCAAATTAAAATCTGTATTAAAAAACCCCTTAGCATTCATCAGAGAATGTGCACAAACCATTCCCATCAGAAGTGAGACACTTCATCATTTAATTTATGCTAGCTCTGTCTGGAGGCACTGATATATTTCCAATAATCAGTTCCTCACAACCTATCATACTATTAACAACAAAGCTTAAATTCAACCATGGGAAAAACCTAGATTGAAAAATAGTAAGATTAGTTTTACCAAAGTTTCTTTTATGATTATATACAATAAACTCGCTGCAAATTACCAGATTTAGGGCATCTACACACTCCATGCTTTGTGTATTAAGTGCTGGATACCAACGGCTTTTGGGGTTGATGGGCACACTACACCCACTTTAATTCTAAATCAAAGTCTCCAATTCAGGACAAAATTTGGAACACCCCAGTGGTAACACTTCATTTGCAGTAACAGAAAGGAATTCAAGGAATTTCACTTGTTTCTAAGCCAAGCTCTCCCCCCCCAACTTAAAATCTGCTTTGATACAAAACAAAATCTGACCCATTCCAAACATCAAGCATTAATAAACCCAAGTCAAGCCCATGTCCTGCACCACTAAAACCCATGTATTTAAACAGCTAAAGCTTTTAAAAGACATGATATTTATGAAGGGAACAAATCACTGTGGACCAGAACAGCTGGGTGCTACTTGACTGCTGTCTCTCTCGCTCTCCAGGCTGGAGCTCCCCTCTTGGGTCACCCAACTGCCTGACAGTGCAGCAGATGCTATAAAAGTCAAACAATCCAGTCCTACTTATGCCCTTGGTTGTGCTTCCCTACTCCGTACAAGGACACAAACAATGCCTTCCTTCTATGGCTGCAGTCCCCTATTAAAGATTTTCAATACTGTCAAGCCAAAAAGAAATTAGTCTTTAGAGTGCAATATTTTCAACCAGAACTGCACACACTATCCACCCCCCTCCCCCAAGTCATTTCCGAACACTGGTGTGAACACAATGCTTACTCAAACTAATATTGAGTTAGTAAGTGCTCTAGGTCAACAACTTTCTCCATGAAGACTTAATATACACAAATAATTGCATCACCAGAAAAGACATTGGAGCAAAAATGCACCCTTGCTTCCCTTGTGCTGCATCCTACCCCTTGATGAAATCCATCTTATTTGTGAATATTTTGATTCTATAGATTTTAGAGACTTTGTAATAATTAAAGAATGCAATGCTTGCTTTATTAACAGAAAAATATGGCAATTATGCAATGCTTTGTGGCATAAATGCTACACCACACACACTGTCTTCTAACTTCAGCTTTCTCCCAGCTACCCATTGAAGCATCTATCCCTATATACTACTGACTTCTAAAAATGTGGCCCACCTCTTGTCATTGTATGAAAAACAGCCACCATATGCCAAAATATTATAAAAAGTGTGTGTGTGCATGCAAGACACATACAAGGAGGAGAAAAAAGTAGTAGACAGGAGATAAAGCAACTCTTTCTTTTGTATGTTTCCAAAGCAGCAATTTTATCATCAATTATTTGTTAAAGTAAGAACAATTAATATTTTAGACATATAAACACAAAATTTAAAAACAGCAGGATTAGGTATAAAATCAACATAAAAGCACCCCATAGTGGTGTTTCATAATATAAACATGTACCTAAAGAAAGGAAGAGAGCTTGATGGAGCGCCTGGGGAAAAGACTTTCATAGCGTAGTCACCAATTAAAAGGTTGTCTCTCTTTCACCTGCCAACCTAACCTTCACTAGCTATGGAACAGACAGCAGGGCCTCTGAAGCTCAGTCGGGGTAGGTTCATGTGTGTGCAGTTGGTCCTTTGTACACTGTTTCTAGGCCTTTGGGGACTTTAAAAGGGTAGAAAAAGCAATTTAAAATTAATTTTGGAAACTTATTGGCAACCAATGTGATTGATGCAGAATTTTTATAGCTTACATCAAACCTCCTTGCCCCTACTAGCAACTGGTGACTTTGTATGTTGGAACCAATCGGTTTCCAGACTACCTTTAAAAAGGCAGCACCATGTAGCCCAAACATTTCATCATTAAAGGTAAAGGTAAAGGTACCCCTGCCCGTACGGGCCAGTCTTGACAGACTCTGGGGTTGTGCGCCCATCTCACTCAAGAGGCCGGGGGCCAGCGCTGTCCGGAGACACTTCCGGGTCACGTGGCCAGCGTGACAAAGCTGCATCTGGCGAGCCAGCGCAGCACACGGAAACGCCGTTTACCTTCCCGCTAGTAAGCGGTCCCTATTTATCTACTTGCACCCGGGGGTGCTTTCGAACTGCTAGGTTGGCAGGCACTGGGACCGAACAACAGGAGCGCACCCCGCTGCGGGGATTCGAACCGCCGACCTTTCGATCGGCAAGCCCTAGGCGCTGAGGCTTTTACCCACAGCGCCACCCGCGTCCCCATTAAATACTTTTAAATCAGTAACATAAACAAGCAATTGTTCCACATCCATTCCCGCCCCCCAATTGGTCTAATTCAGATTTCCTATGTGAGGGGAAACCATAAAACACAACCACCTTGGTTATATGCTGCGATTTAGTGGGCCACAAGGACATTTTTCCAACTTTATCATCAACAGCAATCCTTAGAGCCAGAATACTTGTGACAATATATGCAGCTGCAGCATTTGTTTAAGAATTATTTTTGGTCCAGATGCTCGTGCTGTCTTAGATCCTCCTTACGTGGCAATCCTATTTGAAATATTACAGTAAGGCATCTTGTGTAGTGTCCTTGGATGACTTCAAAATGTCTCAAATAAGGTAATTCTTCAAAGGTACATGGACTATATGTTCAAAAGA